GCTTACCGACGCTTGCCAACGTTTACCAACGTTGGGCCAACGTCGCTTTGCTAGCTGGGAAAATAGTAATTATACACAATACATGTAAACACTGTAAACATGCTCAACAGCAACAACTTCCGTCTTCGACTACAGTCGAAGACGGTATCTAAAGGCCAACTCAGACAGCGTCGGCCGACGCAGCCCGACCCGATTTATCGTCGCGTCGGGCCTGTCTGAGTTGAATACAGACGCGATGGGTAGTCGTGAGACTGCGTCGGGGGTAGTTTTTGGTCGTCGGGGAAATATTAAACATGTTTAATATTCCCCGACGAGACGACTCGTCGGCTGCTTGATTGACCAATCGCGTGCATTTATTTACAATCGAGGGCGGTCATCAGTCATCAAACAGTTTTGAGTTCAGCTTGTCGCGATGGATCAAATGGCCCATCAACAGCAAGAGGAATGGACAGAAGATGCCGAGGAAGTACTAATAAACCTTTGGAGGAATGAGCCCTGCCTCTACGATGTTAATGCAAAAATTTACAGCAATAAGCATATGAGACAAAAAAAGATTGAGGAATTTAGCGTTATCGTGGGGAAAAGTGGTAATTGACGTTCATGTACCAATTTAAAGGCCTGAACCGCGGGTTGTGAAGTGTGCGACACCGCACAGCCCGAGTCATACACCGCAGTGCTATAGGCTAGGCCTAGTTAGGCCAAGGCCTAAACCTATGCCCTGTGCTATAATAATAACGATAGAATAGGCCTAGCCTAGGCATGGCTATTTTAGATGCAAAATTAAACACAGACATGACTAGGCCCTAGACTGGCATATACTAGGCCCTAGGCATAGTACTATAGGCCTAGTAGTAGTAGTAGTAGTAGTAGGGATGAATTAATATAAATTAATTAAAGGCAAAATATATATATATACATATATTTCTTTTTAGTATTACTGTAGGCCTATAGGCTAGGCGGATAGTAGCAAATAACCAAAGAGTGATATTTGGTTTTAGCAAAATAAAATTAAAAAGCCTCCCAGGCCCTCACCCTTCCTCATCGCATTTCTAGCCTGCCTAGATAGGGTGATGAATTCTTATCTCTGTTAAAATTAGCTGTTGCCTCCATTTAATGACTCCCTCTATTTAGAGACTAAATACCATGATTTTGGAGGTCCCAACTGATAATTTTCCCTCCAATTATAAAAAAATGTTATAAATTTACTTAAACCTAACAATATTAACCAATGCACATCATAAGATGGTGTTTTGTAAGTTTTTTGCATGTTGAATAACGATAATATAGTGATGATGTTTGTAATATTTTAATGGAAAGTTTGTTTGTATGGAATTTTTTAAGGAATAATTAACAGCATGTAGTAAAAAAAAAGTTGAGTACATAGGAAGTAGACAATGTAATACTTTATTCATCTTAAATTTATAAAATGTCTTGCTCTTGTGGTAGGTAGGTCTTTAAAAACTCTCTGAGACGTTACAATAATACTTTCAACAAGTATTTATGTTTAACAAAATTTATTCAAATGTGGGGCAGATAGATAGTTGCCCCGCCAAGAGGCTCTCGCATCATACCTGCCCAGCTTATCAAATTATAACAAGTAACAATATGATCTGTCTCTTATACACATCTAGATGTGTATAAGAGACAGCGGCTTACCAACGTTGGGACTTGCCCCGCCAAGAGGCTCTCGCATCATACCTGCCCAGCTTATCAAATTATAACAAGTAACAATATGATATAAGTAATAATAACTTGCCGGGATCATATTATGTATTGTAAATGGTAAAGAATATATAATACTACTGTAGTATATCTCATCAATAACACATTGCAATTTTAGTAAATTTTAACACTACCATAAAAATATGGTTTTAAAAAATATACTAAACTGTTAAAATAATTGCAATGCATTTAGCAATTGCAATTGCGTTATTTCAACACATATTATTTACAATACATAAATTCTAAATTATTATACTAAGCATTTTAATGTATGAACGTTTACCATGGTTTATCAGTGGTGTTTTCATACCTAACAGATGCTGAGGTGAAGAGGCATTTAAATTCTCTTAGAACGCAGTTCATGAGGTACCGAAAAGCACTTCCAAGCGGAAGCGCTGCTAAAAAACGACCAGCCAGAGACAGCAGTGGGTGCTGGAACAATGCTCATGGCTTATGCCATATATGAAACGGAGGACCTCGCAGTCTACATTAGATGTAAGTATGACTTCATTACCAGTTTGAAAATTCTTTTTTCACCTTTTACATGTTGTCTTTAAATAAAAAGACAGTAACCCAATGTGGGACTTCTAGCTTAAATGACATTTAAAAAAAAAAGTAAGACCTACATTTTTTTTAAAGTAATACCCTTGTCTGTTACTGTCGCTCGCAAGCACGGTACATGCCTGATAAATGTAGATTGCTATACCATATCATTCTGCCACTCTACAGAACCATGTTCAGATGAAAAATATTGTGTCAATATTTCTCGTTGACGTTTGGCTGCTGCTGTACTGTTAGGGTGTCTTGGAAGTTGTACAGGTTCCATTGACTGTTGGCCCCTCCACTGACCTTCAACAACTAAATGTGTGGAAGCGTTTTCTGTATCCACAAAACCAGGTGGATTGTATTCTGTATTGCATCTTAGCATATTGTGCAATGCTGCACATGCAAACACTAAAGGCTCCACATTTTCTGGTCTAATTCTGATTGTTGTTCGGAAAATTCCAAATCGATTTTTAAAAAATTCCAAAAGCATTTTCAAACACCCGTTTAGCCCTTGAAAGGCGGTAATTGAATACTCTTTGTTCTTTTGTAAGCTGCCTCAGGGGATACGGCTTCATAATATCTTCTCGTAATGGAAATGCCTCATCTGCAACAATCATGTAAGGCACATCTACATTAGTACCAGGCAGTGGACTTGCATTTGGCACTCCAATTGCTTTGTTTTTTAGTCTCTTGTCTAATGAACATTTAGAGAAAACTCCACCATCAGACACTCGTCCATTGGTACCAAAATCAACATATACAAATTTATATGAGGAATCAACCAGAGCCATAAGTACCATACTAAACGAATTCGTATAATTAAAGTATTCTGATCCTGAATTTGGTGGTGGTTGAAGATTGACATGCTTGCCTTCCAACGCTCCCAAACAATTTGGGAAGTTCCATTTCATTTGAAATTCCATCTTTCGTTGTTGATGGTGTCTGCAAAATACAATACAAATCACAACAAATTATGACCAATTTAATTTATTTTTGTAATACATACTATATCCAGAAAATCTCACTGCATGTGAATCTGAAAAAGGAGTCTTTCTAGAAAGATTAAATAACAAATTAGGGAGTTTTGTGTATAATCAATACAACAAGATATGTTATACATAAAACAAAGAACTAAAACACTTAAACACATCATATGGGAGGAAGTATAACAGGAAGATAACATTGTCATTTTTGTTTTTGCAGGTTTTAGATGAATGTGATGAGATTTCAGAAGATCCTGTAGAAATTCTACAATCCATACACAAACTGAATGTGAAACGCCAAGTCCAGAAGTTCCTGAACTAGCAATCAGGCCGACGTCTAAAGCATCCAAACGAAAAAAATAGAAATTGAAAATGAAGAACTTCAATTAATAAAAAAATTGTCATCAGCTTTTAAAGAGCACGATGATAATGCTGTTGTTGATAAAACTGATGAAGATTTCGTGTTTGGCAGATATATTGAAAGTGAAATGAAATTAATCAAAAATAAAAAAAACCAAAGCAATACTGAAAAACAAAATCCAAAATGAGATTTTTCAAGCCAAAATAGAGGATTTGAATTAAATCTTCCAAATCAATAGCAGTAGGGTTGCTGCATATAACTTCCGTTTTGCTACCATTTTGCCAGAACTTATGTCAAACCTACATTATACAAGTAAAGGCTATTTGGTTAATCTCTTTCTGCACACAAATAATACTGTATGATCAGTTAATGAAATTTTTGATTTGTTCTAAACGTTGATTGGTAGACCAATCTTTACGATATCCTCTGTCTCTTATACACATCTAGATGTGTATAAGAGACAGGTCTAATGAATCCCTCCTATGGCATGTCGGAAGAATAACCACTCTGAAATTGTAGGCCTATATAATATGTCCGTATCTCCCTAGCCTAGTAGTAGATGATACCTTGTCCAACATACACATTATTGGACACTGCACACTTGGCGGTCCATACACATTACTGTTTATCGACCGGCGGCCGCTTCAACCACTAGCTCTACTTCATTCTGGCCTACTTCCCATACATAAAAATTCTATAGAACTTTATAGACCTTCTATAGAGACTAATCAGATATTAATATCTTAGTATTTTCTATAAAATTGTTTTATAGAGGAACTAGTTTCTATATAATTCTATAACATACTATATACACATATTTAATGTAATTTCTATGTTTTTAATTTTTTTGTTGTTTCATTCAATATTTTATTGACACATTCGTGTCTGACCAGTATATTCCTACCAACATGTTTTACATCTTGCATATTCTATAGAAATTCTATAGAATATTCTATACAAATGATATGACAAGTTCTCTATAATAAAATTATAAAATTTCTATATTTATTCTATAAAAAATTATAGTCCTTTACCTGTATTTTTTTTAATGTATTATAACAATTTTATAGGGATTATCTCTATAGGAACATATAAAATCTATATAGAGTATAACATATATGAAATTTCAGTATACATTTATTTATTTATAGTATATTCTGCAGAACTGTATAATATTCTAAACACAGTCATTTTAAAAACTGTAACTTTTAATAGTCTATAGAAAATATATATAAAATATATATAAAAACTCTATGGAAACGTTTATAATTTTGTAAAATTGTTTCTCTATAGAAAGTATATATAAAATGAATACGAACGCTATGGAAGTTATTATCTGTAAATGAAATATTAAAAATTATTTTGAAAATTATATCTATAAAAAAAATAATGTATAGAATATATATATAAAATCTATTCAAACTCTATGAAAAATTTCTGGAACCGCTAATACATTGGTAGCCTTATGGGAACTTTATGGGGGGGGGGGGAGCGGGTCTGTAGTCCCCTAAACTTATCCCTCACCTATTCACAACAACAATGCTTTAAGATTGAAAGCAAAATGTTATCAACAGCCTAACCTGTTTACTGTGATAGCCCACCTACCAACCAATTAATGTTAGTATCGAATTGCACAAATCTGATTGGTCACTTCAATCAGCTAATTTTAATTGTCACTTCATGTAGAGCCAACGGAAGCGGTAGTATTTTGAATTTTTCTCTGGACTTTCATGATGTTAGGCAATTATAAACATACTCCTTGGAAGTATTTTAGCAGTACTGTATTCACTATCAAGTGGTAAGAGTTGGTTTTGTTTTATTATTTAGTTAGTTTACTACTCTAGCAGACCGCTAGCCTCCTAGGCCTAGAGTATTTAGATGAAGGCTTGAATGAAGAGGCCTAGGCTAGCTGTACCGGTAATACTAGCCTAACCGCCGTACAGAGACAGACAGAACTAAGGTTCTCTGTTCTCTCTAGGCCGGCATTGAGGATATAGGGCTAGGCCTAGAACCTGGGCCTTTTGTTGGCCTAGCCAAGCTGTAAGTTAATTTCCCCATAGTGACCCAGCATGCCATAAGAAGAGTGGTAAATTGCATTTGGGACGTGTCCTCACTAATCTACGTCCATGATGCTTTAATAAAATAATTTGTTTAGGGTTAACCGGGGAGGGGGTGGTGTAAAGAATTGTATCATTATTTGCAGAAAGTTAATGTATCAAATCTAGGCCTATACTAACATAAGTGGTGATTTTATTTCAGGATACTCAAGTCTCAGTTACTACTGTAATTAAGTGAAAACTCAATCCAGTCAACTCAATCATTGTAGTAGGAAAGCATTAATGTTTGTTTGAAGACGCATCTGTGAAGGACAGAAAATTACCTGACTTACTAAAGGTGAATATAATGTTTTGTTGACGTTTTATTTTTACTGTCCTGTACTATTAATTATTAACAACATGCTATTTGATGATGCTGTCGTTTACACGATAGAGTTTAATCAAATTTAATGTGTATACATTAGGCCTATTTTAGGCCTTAAGGGATATTGAAATTGTAATGTAGGCTAAGCTGTTTTGAAAACTAAAAAAAAAAAATAATTTTCTTTTGATTAAAAAAGAAGTAACTGCTAGTCTGTCAATAGCTACATATATGTATATTACTCCTATTTTAATACAATAATAAAGGGATGTAATACATTTAATAGCAGTTTCTATAATATGCGCTCTATATACTGTATAAGTTTACCATTATTATTCTTTTTAAAGATTTTGTTTTGTTATATATTTCAGCAAGAGTGAAACTCCGAGAAATGTTAGTACAAGTCACAGTGATTTAATATTTCAAACTAGATTTGTTCAACGGCATAATTCATACTAATTTAGCTTGGTACCATCGGACAAGAAAAGGCATGGTTATGGACAGTTGCTGCTGCAATATCACAACGAATGCTGGTTTATGCACACCTGTAAAACAAATGGTTCTTGAATATTGTTTTATATAATAAACTCTTGTAATAAGACTACATTACGAAAAAAATGCTTATTTAAACCGGACTGTAAAAGCAAAGAACTGTAGAATAGCCTTGAATTTGAGGTACAGTATGTTTAGCAGTAAGACATTAGCAAAACGATAATATATGAAGGGGTATGCTAGTAAATGAGACCCATGGGAAGTAATGTCCCTACCGTATGATGTTTGTTGGTGTTTTGAATTAAAGAAATTATCCCCACCTTTGAAATTGGTTCCACAATCACTATATATCTTAGCTAGGTTGGCCCTTTCGGGAAATAAACCTACGTTTATCCATGCTGTATCCATGCTCTCAAATAGCTCCAAGTGGATGGCACCAACAGTCATGCACTTGTAGACTATTCCCCACCTCTTCTCCGTTATCCTTCCAACTTTTATGTGTATCGGTCCAAAAACAATCAATCCCAGTGCAATGGAAAACTGGTTTAAGCTGCAGCCGTGCGGCCGGCAGGTCTCTCATCTTGGGATTGGATGGATTAGCATGCCAACGTTGACACACTTGACACTGCCTCTGTTGTCCTTTGACAACTTCTCTGCCTCTGAGACTCCAGTATCTCCTTCTGAACTCTGCCAAAACTCGTTCTGGTCCGGGGTGAAGCAACTTAATATCGGCATGTCGCATAAGTAGTTTTATGATATGGTGTTTAGGATCAAGAATTATTGGGTGTTTCATTTGCTCCTGTATGGCATTTGCTTCTTGCAATCTTTCACCTACTCTCAGTAAACAAGTACGTATGAGTCACGTGACCTAAACTTATCAAACGAGGGAATCCCTCGCTGTACGAATCAGCGTGAACAGCAGCCTGAACAACGTCAGCTGGCCTAGGCACAGGTCTAAAGTTGAAAGCCTATTAACACTTAATTATACAAAATGCAAGTCATGATATATTACTAGAACAATCAATACGGTTCATAATGATTACAACATACCGAAACACTGGTAATTACGTTATTTATTTTGGAGTTGGAACGCTGGATTCCCTCATTTTACAGGCAGGTTGCGAACAAGTTCGCTAGCGCACGTGCGCTGCCCGTTGAAGCGCAACGGCTCAGTCACCAAATAGATACTTTGCAAC